CAGGGGAGACGAGGGTTTCCCTGCATTATACAGGTGAGCCCTTCCACTGCTACCTAGATTAGATAACCGACAAGCTTGAGACCGAAACACTACAACGACGAGGGCTCCGACAGGACCTGATCACAAGAGGGTAAGCATCGAGAGAAATGGGGTAGGAGAGGGAAATCATGCGTTTTCAATAAGTTGGAAAAAATTGGTTGGACGAAGAAGAAAACATATATCCAACAATTCATATTTTGGTCCCAACAACTCGGAGAAGTGCAATTTCAATAAGTTAAAAAATCAATTATATGATGCATAGGAGCTCCCTTCTATTAGGCCGGTTATAGTGGAAGTAACATATGTAGTAAGATAACTCACCCCAAAGTAAGTTTGCTTATGTGGTGTTATCATAACATATGTAATAATATAGACTAGTGACTTGCATGAATAAAGGCTTGCATAAATGAAGGCTTCTCACCTATGACCAACCTTATTGGAGTGGCAAGATTTCAAATAATTTATTATGTCTTCGATATTTACTAACACACATGAATTCCTTGGTATATATATCAGCTTACATTGGTTTCGCAATACGAGAGGCACACAAGAGTTCAACAAAAGTAAGCTGGGGCATAAATCAACCGGCAATCATTGCCGAGATCAACAAATAACTGCTAAGTTGAAAAAGAAAGGAAACATAGCATATGCATGGACGAGGACTAACAAGAACGTAAAGGCTGAAAATTTGGCATCTGGTTTAGGCATCGCAAATCAAACATTTTCCATGATAATTTATATTAGCACAAAGATTGTAAATTAGTCTGCAAGCACGGCAATTTTTCTAGCGAAAGATAAACTGAGGTAGATTTGCTATACTCGCCAACTAAACTTGCCATCTTCGATGAAGACAACTTGCAATGAAAAATGTTCGTTTTGCCATGCCTAAAAAACTTATGTTAGCCAGATATCCGAGTGCAACAAGAATGCATGCATATGGTTTATTGGAATAATAACATTCAGATTGATGCCATTATGCATATGCCGGGGACATCCAAGATAAGAAGTAAGCAATGTCATCAGAATATCCAGATCAGGTGGACATAATTGTAATTGCACACTGACGGGAGTTTATTTGGGGACGATTGTCAGGACCAACCCGCGGTGACAACTCTGCCTTAGCGCCACGTCTGAGATGATGCATGTCCTGTAGTTCGTATAACGAATACCATGAACAGGTCCAAAACCTCCAAAACCCTGACCCCCATCGATCAATTGGATTGTCTTCAGCGTGTAGTCTTGCAGCTTGCACAAAAATCGGTCTGACCGCTTCTTCGTCCATGGTTCATGTACTATGTGGCCATTGAACTCCCCGAGCTTTTCCACCCAGAAACTATCACAAGTCCAACCGCTGTAACTGTCAGTTCCACATGTCAGTTTTGCCCAGGCGTCGAACCAGCCATTGTGGAGGGGGCATCATCATCATCCCAGCTCATGTCGCCGCCGAACACAACGTTGTCAGCGCTACTCAGCGCTGAGACCGCATGCTTTGCCTGCATGTAGCGCTCCCGGAGGTGCATCGATTCAGGCGGTACTGGGCATTCGAGCTGGGTGGTGGCTATGCGGATTGGCTGCGTTGAAGAAGCCGGTCCAGGCGTAATGTCTGCCTCCAGGTAGCACTTTCCCGTAGGCGAAGTGCCGAACTTCCAGCGCGCGTAGCCCTGCAGACGAAGCTTGCTCATCTGCGACAAATGATGAGGTTCTGCGTTAGTTCACCAAACAATTTCTAGGACAGCGAATTGAACTGGGAGTACCATCAAGCAGAAGTGGCGGTTCCCCGTTTGATCTTCCGGGGGCACCGGTGAACAGTGATAGGATTTCCACCATGCGAAGCTCTCAAAGATCGAGTGGATGTACGGCGTGACCTCCTGATCATCGGTCGGAGGAACAGTTAGATGACCGAGACGATCGAGAAAGGATTTATGGAGGCGAATGAATAGCACATGACCAGTAATCGTGAGTTTTTACCTGGAAGAAAATTACGTCCGGCGAATGTTTCCGAACATGTTCGCCGATGGCCTTCATCCTCTTGTGGACGACAACGTCTTCGCGGCACCAGACGTTGTAAGTCATGAACTTGATCTGCATCTTGCCGTCCTAATTAAATGTCGAAAACGAACTATGGAAGATTAGCAGCTCAGCATTTTTGGAAGACTAGCAAATCAACAATCCAGCAAAAATACCTTAGTTTCTAAGTAAGACCAATCTAACCAGGTGTATCGGGGGCATAATAAACTACTCCTTTTCTGAAAACAAAAAGAAAAACATTTGCTTTAAACCGGCTGTTGTTTGGCTCGCGTCGTGACCCGTGCGATCGAAGCCGATCGTGCGGCTCTTGTCTCATGCGCGTGCGTCAGCTCTCCGCACAAGACGCGTAATGTGTGGAACCTGCTCACCACTCTCCGTTGCAGCCTTATCTTCTCCCTTCCTCGTCTTCTTCATTGGTCCCCATCCCCTCTCTCTCTCTCTCTCTCTCATTTTTTCACAACCTTGATAGGGGGAGAGAGGGGCTTGATCCAATGGCGGACCACCGTTGCCTCCAACCATGGGGGCCCGGTGCACATCCCGCCAAAAACACCAACCGCTGTTACAAGCCCAAGCACGACGTGTGACCATCGATGTTGCATCCCTCTCCATGGCAACAGCAGTCGTGCCGTGACGGTGTTCGTGAAGGACGCTTCAATGCTATGAGACGGAGTTCAACAAGGCGTCATCATGCTGCGTGGAGGGCACCGTTGTCGGCGTTGCGACGACGAAGCTGCAATGCAACGCCTGTGTCGCTGCGACCCTTGGATCTCGGCGGCCGCAGAAGCTTAAACACAACATCCATGGTGGTGCATCGGCGGCAGAGCTGCGATGCAGAATACGCACTATTGCGATCGACTACAATGAAGCCGCCCAGGGCTGCAACGGAGCGTCGCCGGCGCATCACCGGAGTCGGTAGGCCGCAATGAAGCTGCGCCGATGCTGCATTGAAGCTTTTCTGCGCCGGTGGTGCTGCGTTGCAGCCTTGTC